ATTTCTTCCACAGTGATCCGTCGGTTTGCCCGAATATAACCATCCGATGCAGCAATAACATTAGAAGTGATGAAACGATGAGCCTATCCTGGGAGCATCATCTTGCAGTGACGCATGTCCCTCTTGGAATCTCTTATGCCACACCAGCACATGCAAACGTGACATGCTGTGTTCGTTGTAAACAACAGACATGCGACGAATTTCTCGTCGTCCTACTCCTTCAGCAGTCAAAAAGCGCACTACACTTTGCTGTTCTTTTTTACCCACCTACATTACTGATGTTGGATGACCACACATAGCGCTAACCTTAATTCCAGCACAATAAACAAATGACTAGTGTGCAAGGACACGTCACTGTGCTTTCCCAAGTCCCCACCAGATGTTTGTACCATAAACAGATTCCAGTGTTACCAACTTGCGCACCGTGTGAGTTATGCATGGTGACCCATTTTCATTTGACTGCCCCTGAGAGAGAAAATCAAATTTCTGCCGAAGAAAGTCTAGGTTGTTATGAACTGAAGAAGAATAAGCCATGGTTTGATGAAGGATGCTCAGAATTATTAGACCAAAGGAAGAAGTCAAATTGTTGTGGTTACAGGATTCAAGCGAAATAAATGGGAATAATGTGAACAATTTAAGACGTGAAGCCAGCAGGCATTTCAGGAATAAAAAGAGGGAATATCTGAAAGACAAAATTGATGAGCTTGCAATGAACAGTAAGAACAAGAACATTAGAGATCTGTATAAAGGAATAAATGGCTTTAAGAGGAGTTATCAGCCTAGAAGTAACTTACTGAAGGATGAGAATGGTGATGTGCTTACATATTCCCACATTTTGAATAAGTGGAAGAACTACTTCTCTGTTATTGAGTGTACATAGGATCAGTGATGTTAGGCAGATAGAAATACATATAGCTGAGTCATTATTACCTGATCCTAGCCTCTTTGTGGTTGAAAGTGCTGTTGCCAAATTGAAAAGGTATGAATCCCCATGTAGTGATCAAATTCTGGCAGAACTTATTCAAGCAGGAGGGGAAATATTACATTCTAAGATCCACAAGCTAATTAATTCAATTTGGAATATGGAAAAATTGCCTGAGAAGTGTAAGGAGTCTATTATTATACCAGTTCATTAGAATGGTGATAATACTGACTGTAGTAATTATTGGAGGATATCACTGCTATCAACTTCATACAAAATTCTACCAAATATTCTTCTCCCAAGGTTAAGTCCATACATAGATGTAATTATTGGGGATCATCAGTGTGGGTTTTGATGTAACAGATCAACTACTGATCAGATCTTTTGCATTTGTCAGATAAACAAAAAAAAAAGCTTGGTAAAGAGAAACACACAGACTTTAATTGACGTCGATAAGGAGGTTATCCTTGAAGTAAACTCAGAAAAAACTAAGTATATGTTGCTGTCTCGTCACCAAATGCAGGGTAAAATAATAATATAAAGATTGATAACAGAAGATATGAAAATGTGTCACAGTTCAGATATTTGGGGACGACTATAACAAATCAAAACCTGATTCAGGAGGAAATTAAGAAGAGATTGAACTCGGGTAATGCATCCTACCATTCAGTCCAGAATCTTTTGTCTTCTCGTCTGCTGTCTAAAAACATAAAAGTTAGAATATGTAAAACTATAATTCTGCCTGTGATTATGTATGGGTGTGAAACTTGGTCTCTGACATTAACCTTTAACATATGGACATTTAAATTGCTGGCAGCCCTCTGCGGCCAGAATTTAAATGGTTCTAAGTATTTAACAGTGCAGACATTCAGAAAAAGACTACACATCTTCCATTCTATGCATCAGAAATAACGAACTAAAAACAACCTGAAATACAGTACAGTTTTCTACATGTACACAAAAGAGCAATTCTTACAAATGAAAATCAACTGTGATTATTTTTGTCATGAAATGCAAAATATAATCTTTATTATATATGTTATGAAATTCCAAAGGACTTACCCATAGTTTTTCTTCAACCTTGAGACATGGTGATTTTGTAAATATAATCACACTATATACAATAATATTTTGTTCAGACTGTATGCAAGTTTGAACTGCGTCACTTCACAGTGTACGATACCTCACGCTCTCACGTGCGTGTGCCACTTCTCAAAGCAGTCCACGACACCCAGTGCAACATTACGCATGACAGTGTCTTTGTTTCCCTTTGGTTGTCCAGTGTTATGAATGTTTCACCTCCAGTCGACTCACTTGGGCCCCAGATGAACTTGACCTCCCCCGAGAATTGCTGTTAACCGTGATATTCGCCTCGTGCGATTGAACAATCATCTTGGGGAAGGGGGTTTCCAGCTAAATCGAATAAATTATGTTGATTGTCAAAGTGACACTCTCACCTGTTAGTAATACTTGCAAAATAGTGATGCAGAGTAATTATAACACTAGTCGAAAAGAGTGGCAGTCTGACACTGTTACCAGAAGTCACAGTGACGAAGATGCCTTTTACTCACAAAGTAATACTGGTTAAGTGGATTTATACCTCTTCCGAGACACAAAATAAAAATGATATATGCAGAAATATATGACAGTCTGACACTGACTTTCTAACTGATAATTCACTACTGAAAACCAATCCTTGGATACATCACACTTCCTTGAAAGCTCTTGAAGCAGGAACATGCAAGCCCAGATGAATATATACTCCTCAGTTCTCAAAACAAAGCTGGGCTCTATTTTGCTGACCAGGTCATAAACAGTCATATCTAAACATAAATAGTATCGAAAGAGTACCGTGATAAACAGTTTCATTGTTCAGAGCTAATGAATGAACCACTGGCATGACCTTGCTTGGGTTTGGTTCCAAACCAAAGATCAAACTGTCAGCACTTCCAAAGAGAGCAGGTGTCCTGCCTTATATAAATATAACATTCGGCCACAACGAGGTGTTACTTGCTGATATATATATAAAACATTCGCCCGTTAAAGGTTAAGGGAAGAACATAGACAGGGAGGGTGTTTGAGAACAGGATTTTGAAGAGAATATTTGAACCGAAATGAATGAAGTGACAGGAGTTTGGAGAAAACTGCACAATGAGGAGCTTTTGTAACTTCTCTTCACCAAGTAGGATTAGAATGATTGTCAAGGAGGATGAGATGCACAGGACATGTAGCATGAATGGGGAGAAGAGGGAATGCATGTAAGATGTTGGTTAGAAAGACGGAAGGAATGAGAGCACTATGAAGTCCAAGATGTAGGTGGGTGAACAGTATTAAAATGGGACTTAGAGAGAGAGAGAGAATGGTATGATATGGATTGAATTGATCTGGCTCAGGATAGGGACCAGTGGAGGGCTCTTGTGAACACAGTAATGAACCTTCGGGTTCCATAAAATGCTGGGAAGTTCTTGAGTAGCTGCATAACTGGTGGCTTCTCAAGAAGGGCTCAGCTCCATGAGTGACTGATACAGTATGGCCCATGTGAATTCTCTGAAATTCTTGAGTGGTAAGTTTGGTGATTTCTGTACTTTCAAATGTACATCTTTCATGATTATTATGCAGTTGTTTCATTCATGCTTCACGTTTGTTGGACTTTCATTTTCATTCAAATCTTTAAAATGAAAATATATATATTGTAATTTTACCTGATACCCATATATATATATATATATGCATGGGTATTCCTCATTTCGTGAACACTCGGTTTACTAATTTTCAGTGCAATGAAGCCTGTTAATTTCTGCCTATTTTTCACATAACAGATTTAATTTTGTATTTAAAATTTTTTGCATTATTAACAGTTTTCATGGAATAAATTGCTTTTGTAAAGCAAGGAACATCCCGTGTGTATCCCTGCCCAAGTAGAAAATTATGTTCATTCCTTATGGCATCTGTGTTCTTTGAACTTTTGAAATATTGTGTGCATGTACTGTTACAAAAGCAGAATTATGGGTACACTGATGTTTAAGAGTATGGCTTGTGAACTCATGTTGGAAAAAATGAAAATTTAGCATGAAACACTGCAGTTTTTTACATGAATCAGAGGCTGTGTATTTACAGTATCTATAGTGCTAAGATTTTTGTTATAGAAAGCTTTATTGTATAGGGTATATGGAACTTCAGTTTGTATTTACATGTGGTACAGCATTCCTGTATTCTCTGTTCAGCTATTCATGTCACATTTGATTATGCTACAAGATTTATTCTTCATTATATTACAAATGACCCTTCAGCTGTGCCAGCCCTTGAATTTTCAAAGAAGAGTTGGCTGCATAAGGGCTAGAGTGTTGGTCTAATGTCAATGACATTTAGCCTATTGTAGCTAGTGTCATATCGCAATAGTCCAACAGAAATGACCGTTCTATTGCAAATTGTCATATTTGTTTTTCCGAAATTAATTAAATAACTCTTGTTTGCAGGAGTCTCGGTATTTTTATCAGCTTTGATTGATGGCAAGAATTTCAACCAAGGGGGCCATAAGATTGGAGTAGCTCTGGAACTGGAGGCTTAATGCATTTTGTACTGTGGTCTTTTGACTGAAAGATATGTGAAGCTTGAAGAAAGTAAAGTAATTAATAAACAAGGTGATCAATTTTTAGAGCAACAGACTATTGAAATAACAGTCAAGACTTCCTTGAGCATGTGATGCAGTTCCGCCTTGAATTGAATCAGCTTGGATCACCTTATACTTGTGGGAAGAATGAACATGTAATAAAAGTAATCATCTCACTACTCAGTAAATAAATATACTGTAGTCCAGTAAAATGCTATTTGCTTCAAGGTAGGTGGTATACAAACTTCATATTTTAAAGAAATGGAAATCCATTGTTGCTATTTTGGACAACCATGTAATTAACTTTGAGGGAAGTTTGTGTAAATTACTGTAATGAATTTGTACATTAGATATATCGAGTGAAAGAAGCTTTTGCCTGTAGAGACTATGTAGACACTGTATTAAGCTTTGGTATGTGTAAATGAATCCACATTTTCTTCAATCTTCACATCTTTTCTTTGGATGAAATGAACATCTTTGTAAGGTCAAAACTTGAAAATGTGCAATAGATCAATATTGGGAACATTTATAAAGACCATGGGGAGCTTTTTTTTTTTAAACACATTTGTCAAGACCAGCAGTTAATGTTGCCTCACATCAAAACCCAATTCTTAGACCCAGTTATTTTGCCTTGTAGAAGAAGAACCTTCCCTGAGGAAGACCTCAAATTCCTCAGTATTAGTGAACATTAGTTTCTATTGGGAACTGTCTCATTGTAGATTGTAAAGACAAATTCAGTGAGACTTGTTTTCAAATATGCTGCATGATCAGGAGTGACTACCATGCCTGCAAGGAGAGAAAGGATGGTGAATAAATAGCAAAAGGTTGTAACTTGTATGTTTCAGATTAATTATTTTGTATTTTAAGTTTTGGCGAATAAACATTTCCCATTGATCCAACACTCATTTGTATGACAAAGAAAACCTAAATATCTCTATGGGAAAAAAGAGACTGCAATGAAAAGAGCAAATACAGTGGAACCTCGCTTAACGAACATAATTCATTCCAAAATCTTACTCGTAATGCGAAACACTTGTTAAGTGAAACAATTTTTCCCATATAAATTAACGTAAAATACGATAATGTGTTCCATGCCGAAAAAAAATACTCAAAAAATTTTATGTATAACGTTTATTCAAAGAAAATTATATATACATTGTTAAGGAGCATGAATCATCTTCATCTTTTCATCTATGCAGAATGAACCAACCTGGAATGCGAATTCAATTTGCAGAAAACAAACAAAAAAATCGAAATAATTAGTTTATTATTTATGATACATATCTAATTCTTTTTTACTAGAAAGCTGTCTGGAGACATTTGTTTTTGCCGACGCTTCAAAAGTTGGTGAAAATTCGACACAGCATTATCATTAAATAAATCTGTAGCAAGCATAGCCACGAGCTTATTAGGGTGATGCTTCTCAGTGTATGATGCAACAGTTTCCCATGCTTTCAGCATTTCTCTTATTGCGCCAGAAGATTTTTGCTTTGCTGTTTCCTCCTCCTCCACCTCTGACAAACACTCCTCCACAACTTCTTGCTGTGAAACACAATGCAACTTCAAATCGTGCAGATCGTTGATGTAGACTGATTGTATGTGCGTGCTAGATCAGCCATGCTCACACCTTGTTCTCGCTTTTCAATGATTTTATGTTTCATTTCTACAGTTATTTTTATTCTCATATGTCTTTTTGCGGTTTTTTCTTCGGGGACATTTTTGCAAGGGCTATTAAACTTTGCACAAAAAAAAATCACAAATAATATGTCTGAACACAAGTTTGGAAAAATGTGTGATCACAAGTGACACTAAGATGCTAGCGGAACGAGTGCTAAACACAGACTGATGTAGCAAGCACACAATCCGGGACTTCCCCTCTCATCACTCGTTTAGTGAGTCATTTTTTACAATTTGTGTTCCTTGTTATGCGAATTACTCGTTATGAGAGGTGCTTGTTAAGCGAGGTTCCACTGTATAATATTCGGCCACAGAGGGCCGTTATTTTCTGATATAGTGTGTATATATGCAGGGTGTTTCACGACTTTAGGGCATAACTGCAGGAGGTGATTTCCTGGGTCTTTGTGATAAAAAAAATTAATATAAACATGTGTCCGATTTTGGACCGTTACGGAGTTATGACCGTTTTTTTATTCCCATACACGCCCTCGTGTGAACTGCGTCTGTCAGCTACAGACAGCGTTCTTATTATCTCAATACTTGAGATGTACCTAAGGCGGGGAGGGTTGGTATGTCCGGCGCAGTTCACAACCGAGCGGCAGCCTGTGTTGCGGCTGGAGGTGACATTTTCGAAAATCAGCTTTAAACACCAATAAATTCAAATTAAAGGTAATTTCTCAAAGTTACCTGTAAAGTCATACTTTAAATATATCATGTATTGTGCTGGTTTATTATTTTGTTCCGTTCATTGTCAGTAATCGTAACCTTCTATTCTGAGTTTAAAACGGTCATAACTCTGTAACCGTCCAAAATCAGACACATGTTTATATGAACCTTTTTGATTACAAAGACCTAGGAAATCATGTCCTGCAGTTATGCTGTAAAGTCGTGAAGCATCCTGTATATATATATATATATATACACACAGGGTGTCCCAGGAGGAATGGACCAAACTTCGGGAGGGTGTTCCTTATGT